AGCAACTTAAAACATTCGCTTATTCCATCTGTTGCGAATTGTGCCAGATTATATGCTCTTCCCAAATTCATAAAAGTGGTATTCCTTTCCTTTCCGCCCTATTGTATCAAATTTAGGTACTGCCTCGTATCCATTAGCTAAATATTTTGGTTTTCTAGATTTTCCACTCTATTAGACAATAACATTTACACACCATAAAAAATTCAATAGAGTTTGTAAAAAAGGTTTAAAAAAAAAAAAAAATAAAAACATTTCTCTCCTAGTAATTTACTCATGGTTTCTTTTGATGTAAAATCATTATTCACCAATGTCCCCGGTGGAGGGTGCATTAAGATGTCTAGAAACCAGACTTCGCGAATTTCATTTCTCTTTGCATCGAAATTGATGAGCTAATTTTCTCTCACTCAACTCTGTTTGAAACAAACACATTTTGTTTTCCAAAATAATATTACAAGCAAACTGAGGGATTAGCCATGGGAAGCCCCCTCAGTCCCATCCTGGCTGATATCTACATGCATTATTATGAATCAAAATTGTTTGAAACTTTATAAACTTCCCGGCATGGTTCCGCTACGTAGACGATACTTTTACCCCTGTTTGAAGGTAATAAAGATGATTTAAATAAAGTTCTTTCAACAATGAATTCTATTGATCCTGCTATTCAGTTCACTTTTGAACTTGAGACTTGCAATTCTCTTCCGTTTCTCTCGACATTCTGGTCACACGTAACACATCCAACTTCAGTACTACTACAGTTTTACCGTAAACCTTCATCGGTTTTGCCTTCCACCACACTTTAAATCATGTCATCCGACTAAACAAAGTTAGCTTCATTTTATTCCTATGTTTTTCCGTGCTCTTCAAGTTTGCTCCTCCAAACTAGCCCTTGATGAAGAGCTAAATTATTTAAAAGCAATAGCTATTGACAGGGGCTTTTCACCCAACATTATTAATCAAGCAGTTAAAAAATTCTCATCTCAACACACTAAAAGCCACACTCTTATTTTAGGAGATTATAAAAATTCTGTTGTCATTCCCTTCTTTCCATCAATTAGCTATAAAGTTGCACATATTTTGCAAAAATTTAACTTTCGGGTTGTTTATTCTCCCATCAATAAAATTCGGACTTCTATACTCAAGGACTTCTATACTCTTCATACTATTAGGACTTCTATACTCTTCATACTTCTATACTTCTATACTCTTGTTCATTTGTGGTTTTGCAGCTGAGGATGGTGGTTCGGTAAAACCATCGAAACTAGTCCTGTGGAAATTTTGTAAATATAACGCTGATTTTTGTTGTTTGTCTTCTGAATTAGAACCCCTATAATAGTTCGACTCCAAAATATCTAGCTCTTTTTGTTCATCCTGTATTAAAAATAAAACTTAATGGTTATAATGAAAATATATAGATAGAATTTTATACGTTGAAAGTCTGCTATACATTTCTACTATACATAGAGTTAACCCTCCAGTAAATACATCCCGTATTGGTACAAGTAGAAGTTAGACAAGCACCTCTGTAATACCGCAGGTGATTGAGGTATTGCTGTACCAAACTAACTCCCGCTCCAATTTTGGGGGAGAATAACCCGGGAGGAAGCTACCGATGATCTCCCACTCTTCTTTTCCTACCATCAACCTCCCGACAGGACTTTCGGATCGCCGTGTATTTTGAATGTCTCCTTACCGCACATACAGTATGCGTTTACAATTTTCCATGACTTCTCCAGAATTCGGACCCGAACCCAATGTTACGGGAGTCAGCGTTACTAACCACTATATCGTACTTGGACACCTCTCAAAATGACCAGTAGTATTTTTTAGAACAAAAATCAATTTTGGTATTGATGATTATAATGGTACTCCATATAGCCAAATAAAAAGAACTAAGGGGCTATTTGAAGTTAGAATTTTATCTTATATATTCCATATTTTACTCGCACACACACACACACAAACATATATATATATACACATAGAGAGAGAGAGTATACATAAGATAAAGAATATGGGAGATAAAATTGCAACTTTAGTTTGTAATTAACCCCTTAAATTTGTGTTTAAGTTATTTCTTATATCTGTTCTAAAATTAGTAACATGCTTATAAATATTTCTCTGAATTGTTACATTTCAAGATTATTCCCTGTCATATGATTCTTAGATAAAGCTCATGACGCATACAGTTGCATAATGCAAAACGTTTTTCAGCCTGTAATAACATAGTTTGCATCTCGAATCCTTAATTAACTACTCGAAATAAAACGGAACCATAACTTTATTATTTCTAATCTAGGAATTTTTTAAATCTGTGCTCACTTTTCATGCTTGTTTCCGTTCTGATAACATGCTACCCGCACTTCTCGCCTTTTTTGTTGTCAAATATATGTAAAATATAGTTTGTAATTATGAAACGACAAGGGGATTCATTTCTGCGTTTATGTATTCCTTTATAGAGTTTTATTTAACGAATTAAGCAAAATATAAAGAGGCGACACTTCATAATTTTTCATTAGTCGAATATTTTGAAGTCTAATCTAAAACCGTTTAAACTTTTAAATTAAAATTGGGAAGATTAATTTGGCTGAAATTCAAATCCACTAGAAAGGTTCACTAAAAAAGAACGTGATTGTTGCAGTTTCATTGGCATCTGGATGAACACCACTATCAACCTCATAGCGGCATCTGGATGAACACCACTATCAACCTCATAGAGCACTTTCAGGCTTTGATGACATCTTAAAATGCATAAGGTTTTGAATTTTGATAATTTTGAGAAATTAATTCAGTATTCCGTGTTCAGTTGTATTTATCTATTTTAAATAAATCTCCCGCATCTAGACTTGCTGCAATTACAAAAGGAATTCTAATTACAGCTTTCATTTTTCAGATTTCATTATATCCTCTTAATAAGTGTAGAAAGAGTTTTAGAACTTGGTTTCTTAAATTTCGTTTTCATTAAATGCAGATTTCAAATGTTGCTTTAGTTAAAAAAGTTTGATATTAAATAAAAGTTTATTTTCCATTTTTCTTATAATTATTATTTTAATATGAACAATTCGAGAAAATTTAAGCTTAATTTTCCTCCTACTTTCTATGCTTTGAAACTTTCATATTTATACTGTTTTAAATTTAGAATCGAAATGAGGAAACAAGAGCGTAGAAGCTTCAAACACTAAAATTATTCTTCAATCGAATGTTAATTTTGTTTTCTAGTGATGATTTTATCTTTATCAATTGGCAAGAGAAAATATTACTTCTTTCTTAATTTGCGTAAATTTTGTCGTATGCTTCATTTTAGAATATCAACAGTGTCAAATTCCTTTGGGTCAATAGCATCAGCAAGGGTTTCGTTCTTCATAGAATTTGCTAATGCTGGACGACCTTTTATATACGGACTGAGTTAGATTCAATAGTCAGTTTCTTTTTTTATTCAGAGTAAAAAAAAAGTACGATTGTATTTAGCTTTTTCCTAGGCAATACTGCTTTAGATTTTCCTCTGTGAATGAGTTTGATTTGCGATATCCGTCGCATGTTAAGCACAATTAGTCTTATCTGTGCTTTTTAACTTTAAATATTTGTACATGTGTACCTTGTTGCGTTCTCTGTAATTTCTTTCAACAAAATGCTAATTTCTTATTCCTAATCCGGCATTGTTAAGTAATCCTTACAACCTCGTAGCGGATAACAATATTCTATTCTAGTATTTGCCGAAGTAAAGAATTAGCACTGACCACTACTTCTGCGATATATGTTTATTTTAGAATTTTGTTTAGTATTCTTTGAAAAATTAAAATACCTTCTGTGCGAAAAATTGTGGAGTGCTAGTACAAATTGCTTTTGTTGTTCAATATATTTCAGAAGCTAAACACATTATTTAACTCGAATTTTATGTTTAAAAATTCGCAGTCCTTCCATACTGTTTCAACTGTAACAAAATATTAATGCTTTAGATTTTCCTTTTCATCTGTAAACTTTGTAATTTGTTAAGCATATTTTCTTTGATTTAACTGCAGTCTAATACTTCCAGACTGCACTTATTTTTTATTTTGTTATCCCCCGCACTTAATTTGAATTTACATTCAGGATTATAAGAGTATTAATATGAAAGTTAAAATCAATTTGAGAGTTTTCTTTTACTAACAGCAGCTGATAGAATTTTACAGCTCATTTTTATTAAGACTAAGCAATCAATCTAAGTATAAAATAACATAAACTTGAACAATTTTTAAATTTAAAAATATTTTTCTCAACATATTTCTTTATTTATTCGCTTAAAAATGATTAAAATGTACCTAACCAAATTATTCTATTCAGCATGTTTAACGAAGGCCTTTAACCATAATAATTATTAAAAGTCGCCTCTTGTGCGGCCAGCTGACTAAAATAGTTATTATAAAAAGAAATATATACATAATGATTTTAATGAACTTAGGTAATGCAATTTCACGGATCCCGATAGTAATTAAATAATAATTCGAATGAACCTGCATGTATTGCTTTTAATTGCTTAGTTTGTTAATTAATGATAGAATAAATTTAAAAGAAAATTAAATATCCTACACTTAGCCAAATGGTAATAAGCTGGCACATAGGAAATAAAATATTTCATACTGAATAACGGTAATATATTTCTTTTAAATTGCTTAGGTTTCTGATTAAATTTGAAGCATAAAATTCTTGCGGTTTGTCGAGGGACAAAACAAAGCTTTTAAATCGCTGAGTTTTTAATCAGAAGTTCCTCCAGTTCACACAAAATATGAAGAAAATAGAAAACAAATTCGAAATTCAAAATTCGGGCTTCGAGGAGATGTACACTTTCGGTTCGAGGACTATGTGTGTTCGAAATCTGGTGGCTCTATGTGTCGTCGCTTTTTTCCCAGTACGAGGAATATGCAAACATACTTACATGCATACAGATTCTCCGTTATTTAAAAGTACAGATAAAATTGTCAAAAAATGATAGCCCAAAAGATTATTAAATTAAGTGTTTACCTCACCTCTAGAAGATAGGGCTTGATTTTATCGTCCAGAAGAATATCAAAACCTAGCAACTCAAAGCAAGGAGAAACAGCTGAAGCGATGGGGAAGCATGTATGGTACATGTGTTGCAGAACCGGAAGAGCAGACAGAATGGTCTTCACAATGATTCTGTCAATTGTCGGCCACAAATGATCAGTTGAAAACCCAAGGGAAACAAGATACTCTTCAAGATCAGAGAGCGCCCTGCAGGAAATTCAAAAATTACTATTTCGTCAAAAATAATGAGGATACGATAACAAGATTTAAATAGGAAAAGACTTGTTTAAATTAGTCATGAGTATTTAACTGTAAAATAACGTTGTAAAAGTAGCCAGAAAGATAGCATAAAAGTTATGAAACATGTCTTATATTAGAAAAGGCGCGTGTATATTCCGTGGACGCAATGCTTAAGTGTTGACATACTTTTCTATGTTTACTGGGCTATTTATAGTTAGGATATAAATGAATGAAAGCATTTGAATAATTTGCTCCGGATACCTTCACCGGTATAAATAGTTATTGCTTGAGATTGTAAAAAGGAGTCCACGTTTTTGTTCAAATGTTTGCTCTTCTGGCATGTGCAATCACAAACAAAAATACTAATTCAGAATCTAAACAAAATTGGAAAATATCAAAATGTTTAATTTAATTATTCTTTGTTTTGAAGTAATGAATGACAACGATTTGTAAAACAATTTAAAATCAATTTTCAATCCTAAGCTTTAAAACTTTTTTTATTTTCGAAAACTGGTAAGATGTTATTTTATATAAGATTTCAGTAATATAACCAATAAGATGTCATAAGCCTTATTATTATGATCTAATTTTGTGATTTGCATTCTGTGAGCTCCTTTGATCGTTTCTTTAAAATATTATGAGATGAATGAGATTTAAAGCATGAGTTGCCTATTTATTTATTATTCATAAATACTTTAGTTTCTATTCTTCGCATTAACAGTGACATCAGCATCTTGGTTAGTATAATTCAGAGAGGCGAAGAAGAAAAAAGAAAGGCGAAATGAGTAAAATATGTATAGCCTGGACGTGTATATCTGCAGCTGTCAGTATTCTATATATAAGAATTACATGCTTTTGTATTTAGTAAACAGAAACCCTCGAAGGAAAGAACTTCAATAATACATTTTGTTTTAAATATTTTGGTGGTTCCTTTTCCTCTCTATCCCATTCGGAACTACTAAAAATGATTATAGCTTCGATATCAGTAGAGATTATATATATCACAAGCGTAAAAAAGATTTTATTTAACTAGAACGCCTGGCGGTCATACGAAATGACCGCTGTTCTAGATATTATGAATTGTAATTAAAATGATTTGTGCAAAGGTGCTAATTTAAACTAAATTACCCAAGGCAGGCGGCGTGGACGCCCCTTTGTTTACTGCCCCACGGGGTTTCCCTCTTCTACTTGCAGGGAAACCAGCGGTCGAGTGGTAAAGTCGCTGAACACTGGTAGTTCGGTCCGAGATTCGAATCCCGCGAACGGGCTGGCAGCATGGGTGTTTTCGTGGTTTTCCCCATGTGTAACGTGTATACGAGCCAGGTTCCCTTTGAAAGTCCTCCACGAAGGCATCCCTCCCATTAGGCAGATAGCCCTAGTGAGCTTTGGTATAATTAAATACACCACACCACACCACACCACCTCTTCTACTTGCTTAATTGCTTAAGGTAGAGTGCAATGAAGGAAACCACTGGCGTTCTTCTTAAGAGCCACCGCTAGCTCAATCAATTAAGGGGATTTAAATAATGAAATTTTAATTCACATGTCAAAGATCTCTTGTACACAACATTTCTTGTGTATATCTTTCCATCATTTTTATGCTCGCCTTGCAGAGGACCATCCATTATTTTTAATTTTACATCCGTTCTTTCACGAACTCTTGAACAGGCAGCATAAAGTTGACCGTGTTCAAATGCAGGCTCAGGTAAAAAAATGCCAACACGCTCAAGTGTTTGGCCCTGAGACTTATGGATGGCCATAGCAAAGGCAAGTTTTACAGGAAATTGTCTACGGCTCAATTGAAACGGCAACCCTGTGCCGTGGCAACTTCACCCTATTGGCTAGTACAGTTACGCAAGCAACCAATAAACTATCAGGAACACACAGACACTTCAGCCGCATATATATATATATGGGGTGAAGTAACATTATCTCCTCCGAAACGGCTGGCTCCCGGGCTTAGCGAAGCACACCGTTGTATTCTGCAGGTCCGTGGCACGCCATTTTGACCATTCGCGTCTTTTTGGGACTTTAATTAGTCGAGATATTAATTAAAAACTAATTTTCCCCTACGTTTTCTCTACATTCTCCATTTTCTTTCTTGGGTTTTCCCTATTAGAAGGATTTGGCTACGTCTTCCTTGAATATCTACGGAACGGCGCCGAGTTGAAATTCGAGACGTGTATCCTCGGATTCCAAAAAATTCTCCGAATCCATCGATACCGTTCTCATCTTCGTACGACTTTAATCGGTTGAGATATTAATTAAAAACTGCGGAAACGTTAATTTCCGCGCTCATTTTTCCGAATGGCAACAATAAACTATCGGTGACACACACTTTAGCCGCTTATATACATAAAGATAATAAGAAAGTAATGTTTTCGAAAATGAGAGTAATCCAAAAACAATCTGTGAGAGATCACTCAGCAATCAAAAACTCTTAGTTCTCTTCTTGTACTCGACGAGTTAGCATTAACGTTGAGCAGTTAAAAACGCTTAATTCTGCCCGTGCGCTGGACGAATTAACATTATTAACATATAAAAAAATTATTCCATCACTAGAGATTGTAAACAAGGGCTGAGCTTTGGACGGCTAGTTATTGGTTGGTCATTTTACTCTAAAGCATTATTTATTCGATTGATTAGAGGATTGGGGACTTACTGGGTAATGTATAAATGATAAACATACGTTTATATTGCCGATAAGACTCAAGTTATTAAAGGTGGAACCTTCCTTCACTGAACATTATTAAAAGACCTTAAGCTGTACATGTAATTTTGATTGTTATAGAATCTGAACAATTAACTTGTTAATAGCATTATTAAGTTATTCGAATGATAATTTATATGCAATGAATGCTACATCAACTACTTTTTTCAAATTCTGAAAACTGTATTTTTCAAGTTATAACGGACAGATGTTAGAGAAATTTAAAAAAAGGTCCTTCTTCAAACTTTTATCACGAATTATACTAAACTTCGCATTCAGTAAGAACGATTCTTTTTTTTTTTTTTTTTTTTTTTTTTTTCTTTAATCTTCCAAAATTTTCGGATACATTGTTATCACTTGTATTTTTCACACGACACATGAGAATGAATTTCAGCTTTTTCGCAGGAATCATCATCTTCTTCTGTGTCAAAGCGCATTTAAAATTTTGACGAATTCCTTCGAAGAAAGTATTCCATATTTTATTGAATGAATTGCTAAAATAATATTTGCTTCTGATGATGAATTTTTGAGGGATTTGTCTCAGCCGTATATTAAAATTCTCTTAAAAAATAAAAATTTGCTTTTTACATAAATGATCAGTTTTTCCTCAAAATCATCCTGCTCTGTAGCATTCAACTGCTCAAATTCCTTGCACAGTAGTTCCAGCCGTTCCGGTTTCCTTATCAGAAGAAGCATTTTATTCGACTCGGAGCAATCAAGGGGCCGCTAAAACTATGTGGTGCCCGCTTCGAAATCCATACCGAGCAGGTATGAGGTGAAGGCGCCAAATCGTCTGTAGACGACTTAGGTCCTGGTCTGGGTGTTGTAAGTAGTATAGCAGCCCCCATCTCTTCTCAATAGATTCCAGTAGGATTAAACTTTAAAAAATAATATTAATTCAAATTATTTTTCATGTTCCCGTTATTTTTTTACTGCAAGTATTTATAGAACACCAAATAAAAAACGAAAGCATTTTTTTTTTTCCAATAAATCGTAGATTCTATTTGTTAAAGTTCCTTCACTTCTTCGTCCATCATCAATGCGTAGCTCGCAGATTCTAAACTTCATGCAACTCCCATTGGAATTATTTTTTCGCTATGTTTCTTCCTTCGCCTGTTAACAGCGGTAATAATTCTCCTCGATCAGTTCAAAGTTCTAAGTTTACATGCTTATAAAAATACGGTATTTCACTAAATGCAGTTTGTTACGTGTATACAAAATTCAGCATGGAAATTAAAATTTGAATACTTGTAGCACTAATAAAGGTGTTATTAAGTGAAGAGATTGACTGAAATTGCAAGTTCATTTGACCATCCCATTCTTATTTCTGCCGCTGAAAACAATAAATATCAATTTGAGAGCAATTAATTTTGTTGTTAATTCTGCAGAGAAAGTGGTTATTTATACTTAAAGAACAACTAGAAGTCGTCTGAAACACTTAGCTTGTAGAGTCATTAGGTTTTTTTTTTTTTTTTTTTTTTTTTTTTTTTTTTTTATGCAGGAGACGTGAAACGTGAGCAGTGCACTCATCAGGACTCGAACTTGGACCTTTCGAATACGCGGCGAATGTGCTACTATTACACGACAAAGGCATGCTAGAAGGAGAGTGAAAATACCTTATATACCCCCCTTTTAAAAGGCGATTGGGGATTAGGGGACCCAATCGTCAAATCCTGGTGGTGAAGATTTACTGTCCATCACCTTTCAGTTCGGGCACCACTGTAGACTTTAGGGTATTTTGAAGGAGGAGCCATGAAAAATGTGCGATGCACTCGCCGGGATTCGAGCCTGGAACTCTCGAATCCCCGCCGAGTGTGCTACCGTTACACCATGAAGACTTGCTGGAATGGGGAAGAAAATATCTTATAATCTTTCAGTCAGATGTAAATCATAAATAAGTAACGTTATTGCGGAAAAGAATTATTGGACACGTACCAAAATAAACAGGATTTCTATACAGGAATTTCTTTTTTCCTATACTAAAATTCTAAGGAAATAGATGCAACAGAAATTAAATGATGAGCATGGAGCTATTGTGTACAAAATTCTCCAGTAATAAAGTAGAAAACGCTCGCAAGCTCTATTGATGACAATTAATAAGTGTTAAGTGTTTAAGACAGAATTTTATCCAAGGCCTTCAGAAGAGAATTCCGGTTAATATTTTTTTTTGGGGGGGGGACTTCTTCTTTATAAACAATGTTCTTGAGTACACTGTAGAAATTCCCTGTGCCGGAGATCCAAACAGGCATTTTCCAAGAAACCTGTGTTTCTATCTCATATCTGAGATTCTTTCCCTACCATTCTTCAAACTGACAAAATTACCATTTGCATTCAATTGACTTCTCATGTCCATGACCTTCTCATGTCATGACTTAAGAAATAATATATCGGAACTATTGACAATAAATCTGAATTTGTTTGCGCAAGCGTGGTTATATTTATATACAGATATTTGAATTTTTTTTAATTCAGTATTTACGTTTAATTCACTTGTAAGGATTATGTTAATTTTATTAACACTTAAATTTTGAGTTAAACTTCCTTTCTTATCGCTTCTTAATTTCATCTTACCACTTCCGGAAAGAACGTAGTTTTAGAATCACGTCTGAATGCTAATGAGAAAAAGCGGTATTTAACCGCGAAGTTCTACTGTCTTAGTGAAAGAGATACTAAATATTCTGACTAGCACGCGTCCCCCTTTTTAGGCTACTCTTTCGTAAACTATTATTACGCTCGGCCGTACTTTAGGCCCTTGATAGCATCGCAGTCATTTAGCGTTAAGGGGCCAACTCTCTTAGAATTTTAATAGCTTCGGCTATATCTTTTTAGTTAACATTAATTTAGTTTATTTCTTGGTCTCTTAAGTTGAAGACCGAGTGTCGGCTTTATTGTACAACTACAAGACGGAGTTCTGTTAAATCTTATTTGAACAATAAAGGGTCTTTTAACCCTTTTCAAGTTTATTTACTGTCTCACGAACTCAAGCGAATATTCGCTTACTAATTCTTAAGACTGTTCACATCCATCTGTAACTTAGAATTACACAGTGGAAAATTCTACAACTTTACAGATGTAATAGAAATTTCTAAGAAACATCAGGCGTCGGGCACAGGATTAGGGATAATTTCTTACCCGCTTTCAAGAATGAGTTTGCAATAAAATAATTTCGTTTGCTAAAATTATTAGGCTGCATAATGAAGGATTATCTTGCTGTTAGTTAACGAAATCTGACTGCCATCATTCGCAGTTAGTAGATGCGTTAATAACTTCAATTTAAGGGTAAAACTAGCTTTTTTACAAGGCTCAAATATGCCAATAATATAGTACAGTTTAAGGTTCAATATAATTATAAGTGACAAATTTATATTTAGGAAATTTTGCATATTTAGTTTGACATTCTTGATATTCTACAAGGTAACATAGGAGAGTATATTCTTTTTTGAATAAATGTTACGTAGCTAAACCGAACCATCATTCTCAAATGCAAAACCGCAAAAGAACAAGATAGGAAATAATGATTAGATAAGATAAGAAAGCCTGGACAAGAATAAGCAAGTGGCGCCATCTGTTGGTGAAACCAGAACTAAAACATAATTTCTTTAAAGGCCGAAGGCAAAGATGGATCGTTAACTAGAACAGAGAGATTTTTTTGAACGTGAAATGTTTGCAGCTGAGGATTTGCGGTTTCGCAGCTGAGGATGGTGGTTCGGTAAAACCATCGAAACTACTACTGTGAAAATTTTGAAAATATAACACTGATTTTTGTTGCTTGACTTCTGAATTAGTGTTTAATGTTTCTTGAAATTCTCACTAATGGTTTCAGAGAAATCATGTGTGTAAGCAGGTAAGTTGTAGTTTTGAGAAATTTTAAACTATAATTACCTTTAAATCTTGTAACTGGGCGTTACTTTTTTAACTTGAATATGAAAGGGTAAAAAACAATTACCTTAATTACCTATAATTAGCTTTAAATTCTATAACTGAGCATTACTTTTTTTAACTTTAATATGAAAGGGTTAAAAAATCGATTTTTTAAATTATTTAAAAGTATCTGATAAGGGAAGGTCAAGGAAATGTACGACACGAAATGAACAAAGTCTTATTCGTCATTCTTCAAAAAATCTTTTTAATAGTTAGGGAAATTGAGCTATGAGTGTAGATCAGTTATTTAACTACTTTTTTCACGAGGACCGTAAATCGAAGACTGAGAGAAAATAGCTTAAAAGCTCACTGTGGATTAATGCCTGATGAACTGTGGATTAATGGCGTAATGTTTGTTATCTGGAGTAATAAAACAGCATTTTCTTTCACATTTATAGAAACGCCACATTTGAACTACGACATCATAATGAAAGATTTAAACTATGTTACTAAACCACAACAACAATAAAACATTTAACTGCAGCTATCACCATGGGGCTGTATTTCAGCACATGGAGTGGGTCGACTTTACATCGTAGAAGGAAAATTGAATACCGCTCAAACTTATCAATGTGCTTGAAGGAAAAGCACTTCCTTCAGCTAATAATATGTTTCAAAACAATGCTCATATATTTCAGGATGGTAATGTGCCATCGAATACGAGAGATAGGTTTGGTACTCAGGTGCAACTACCTTGGCAGAAGTCGCTAAATTTTCAAGATGTATCAATCTCTGGCAACCATGCCCCCAACCATTCTTCCGGCAATCATGCTCATAACAATCCTTTAAAGTCAAGTAATATTGCCCTTTTTGTATACCTTCTTTTTCTTACATTCCAAGTTCCAGCGTTTTATAAACGAAGTGTAACACCTTTTGCCTTAAAGTATACGTTTGTGGAATTTGGCAGCAATAGAAGAAACTGCGGTAAAATTTCTGCAGGGATGCAGAATTTTACCGGAAATATCTCTAAACAGGACAACGACGAGATGCAGTTGGTTGATAGCCGATGCTGCCTAGATTAATGCCAAGTTTCATGTTTCATCAGTTCTCTATTTTTTTTTTTTTTTTTTAAATCGAAAACAGATCGCTATTTACTTGAAGAGAAGAACAGCGCAAAAAAAAATAAATTACAGAAAGGTTTGGAGAAGAATGTAAGTGCTTTCAGTTTTAATATATCGCTTAATCCTTATTTAATAATTAAAATTTATATTTTAAATTCCTCAAGTACATTTTTATATCCTGAGAATATTAGCAGAGTTATAAGGTATTTCTCCCGCTTTCCAGCGTACCTTCGTGGCGTAACGGTAGCACGCTGGGCCGGTATTCCAGAGGTCCATGGTCCGATTCCCGGCGAAGGCATTGCTAATTTTTCCTCTCTCTGGCTCCAAAAAAAAAAATAAATAAAAAAATAAATACCTAATGTCTCTACAGAGTTTACTGTAAATATCGTTAGTTTAAAAAGCGTTTTTTTATAAAAAGTAGCAAATATCACTAATTTGCACCCGATAAGTACTTTTTACCTTTTCGTCTGTAAAAAATCGCCAGATTGCACCAAGGTAGTTGCGTTAATACGTAAGTACCGATGATTTTCTTCTAAATCAATTTTAAAATTTTAGTGGTTTGCCCAGTCGTCAAATTCCAATTCAGTTGAAAATATTTGGATGATATTGAAAGAAGAAGTCAGTTTAACGAACCCAAGCAATAAAATAATATATTCAAATGAAGCTGTAATTCCATGCTGGCATCATTTAATTCCAAAGAATCATTTAGACAACTTGTGAGTAATATGCCTAAGTAATATGCATTAGTAATTAAAAGCAAAGTTTTCTAACTAAATTTTAATATTTTATATAACTTGAAATGTGTTTAAATCCATTGATTGATGTAACATCTTTAACCATTTTGTAATTTTTTCTTATTATTTCCTTGTGAATTAAAAAATTTATTTGTACTTTTATAAGGTTTTTTTCCCTCCTTTCAGCATGCCTTTGTGGTGTAACTGTTAGCACACTCGGCGCGTATTCAAGAGGTCAAGGTTGGAGTCCCGGCTACGGCACTGCACATTTTTCATGTACTCCTGCTTCAAAATAACCTAATGACTCTACTGTTTACAGGAATTATAAAACATTTCTAATAGCTCACTGCTGAATGAGCTAAGTTTCTTCTCATTTTCTTATCCGCTATATTTATAATATTGTTCTTATTTTAAATACTAAAAATATTTCGAGTTACATTTGAATTGATACGTCGTATCAATTCTATCTAATTATTTTTTTAACGCACAAAATGAATGTTTCCATGAAATGCTGTAACACTTTTTCACCAGGCTGTACATACACGCTATGCTTAAGCGATATGATTACTCCCATTTTTTGGGCCCGTTAATGAATTTAAACTTTAAAATGTTTAAAAACTCAATTTAAAAAGATCAATGACATCAAGATGGGTAAGCAACGATAAAAACAAAATATTACTGTAACGAATAACATTTATTTTTAGAAGTGATTCAGCAAACTACTTATTTTTAAGATACAATAATGAATATAAATGCATCCTTTCTATAACATCCTTTTTAGAAAATTAGGAACGAACGTATGTTTTCAGTTTGTTTACAGACCTTGCCTTCTAAAAACAATCCTTATTCTGTAGTTTATACATAACTTACTTTTTACATTCTTCTGTACTTTCTTCTCCGACAGAATTTCTGTTGATCGCATAATTAGTTAAATGCATCCGTTTTTCATGCTGAAAATTAATTAATTGTATTATGACTTATGTTCATAGCTACTATTGCACATTAACTATGAAAATTTCCTTTAATACATGAAAGACATAAAGTTATTTTGATATATGATAAGAAATAATGAAACATAATTAAACTCAATAATTAAATTTTCAAAAGCGTATTTATGTTAGAAAATTGCTACATAAAATGAAAGCACATATTTCTGCTTGAAAAATAAAACGGCATTAGATAATAATAAATGGCAGTTTATAAAATTTTTGCTTTGCATTTGGTAATAATTCATTACCTTCTCGAAGAAGAAATGTTGCATAAAAACCTAATTAATGTAAATGGCGTAATAGAAGCAATATTTTAAATTCATTGCTTCTCAGTTTTTTAAGGAAAATCTGTATTAAATCTTTTAAAACAAATTAAAATGTCAATTGTTAAAAAATGCAGTTTCGCTTTATTCCGAATAAAAACGCAGATTGAATTTTTTAAAATAAATTACAAAATTCTATGAAATACATTTTAAATACTCTCAGTAGAAAGATGATGACTGAATGCATATTTAAAGAGGTTGCTAAGAAGGTTTTGGATATGTGAAACAATGGTTTCTGTATAATAAGTGTAGTTTTTCCTATTCGAAAAAATAAATAAATGTAAAGGAAAAAAGTTCAATTTCACCTGAAAAAGTTCCTCTTATCGAATATTCTGACTTAAAAGAATTGAGATAAATAAATATCAATTTTTATAAGTTTCATATGTAAGGTGAAAAAAATTAATTTTGACTTATCATCAATATCAAATTATCAAAATATCTCATTGTCTAAAACTGAAAACAAAATTTTCAATTAAAATTTGTACTTGGCCGCAGTATAGAATAACATTAAAATTTTTGTTTTAAATTAGAATAGATTGAAAAGTATTTCGATAGCAATCATACACATTGTTATATTTAGTATTCAGCACAATACACAAACGCATTTAGTCTTTATAAGTTTCTAGAAGGCTTAACTGATCTCATTCCCAACAAAAAAAAAAAAAAAAAAAAAAAAAAAAAAAAAAAAAAAAAAAAAAATCTTAAAAGAAACTTTAACTAACCATATTTGCAGAGGTTGGTTTCTTATAAGGTACGGTCGCCAGTCTTACTAAGCCATCATTGTAGATGTATACGCGCAGTGGACAAACGGATGTTATTAAGACGTATAAACGCAGATCCATCTTAAAACTTTGCATCAGAAGTGGCTGAAATAAAAACAAACCTTAAACGTAAATAATACATTGGATATAAATGTCTCTTTTTATTTTCATTCCTATTATTATTGTTATCAATCACTGATGCAATATGAGTGAATCATCTATTATGAAATTGTTTGTTCACAAAATAAAATCCTTCAGGATTAGAAAATTGGAGATTACTCTAAAAGTTCTTTTCATACACAACAAACAGACATTTCATTCATAACTAATGCAGATTTAAAGGATGATGTATATGAGTTTATCAGATTTTAATTCTGAAACTTATGAAAAAAATAACGTTTACAAGCACCTCTTCCTTTTCATATGAACCTGAAAACCTACCTTAAAAAACATAAAAAACATCCGTTATGGAAAAGTCTCTTTTAGTGTTTATAATTTTTATAATATTAGAAGACTATTAGTTATAATCTTCTGATATTTTTACGGTTATTTTTAATATTGAAAGAGAAACTTGATAATATTATAACGTTTTTATAACCCCAAGCTCATTACCAAAATTGAAAATATATTTGAGGGCATGTGAATTTTAACCCTCAAATATATTTTCAGTTTTTTAAACGAAATATCTCATAAAAGGCTCAGTATTGCTGTATTCCATATAGCAAAACATTTAAAATTGACGAGATCCAGACTTGATTAACGTTAACTGCAATTGAAAGGACAAAATCATTTCATGTGTCATATTTCCATCAATAGTAAGCTACTACGCACATTAAACATTTCTGCTTAAAATAAACACAATTAAAGATAAAATTAGCCAAATTTAAATTCAAGTTGTCTGTCATCGCTTGCAAACATTAAAATAAAATATTGCTTTAATCCTGTTTTGTATTGCTATTTTATTGAAACAAAACTGCTTATCGAAATAAACGACATATCAGTCATAATAATTTTGCAAAGAAAATCCAGCTTTCTCATTATTCAAAATAAAACCAGAAATAAATTCTACATTTTCCAAATAAATTACATCGATAAAGCCTAGTGGGGATGAAAACTTTAAACTTTTTTTTTCTTTTCTTCGCCAACGAGAAGGCAGTTCCATTCAATTCAACGAGAAGGCAGGTCATTTCAGCTACTTCATCTCAGTTCGTCAAAACAAAAATGCAAATTTTATTATAAAATATTAATACATTCAAGAAGTAGTAAAATAGTAGCCGACAGCAGCATATTTAGATTCAATTTTAGATTCTCATGAGAGTGTTGTTTGAGTCTTTAAGAAATTTTGATTCAATTATGCAAAAGAACGATTTTTTTTTTTTTTTTTTTTTTTCAGTTTCCCTTTAATTCCTTTCTACAATTAACGATGGGTAAGTTTTTTTAATGTAATTATAATATAGTAGCGTTTAATAATTTCGTTCTTATTTTATTGTTCAAATTTAGTAATTACATAGTTGCATTCAAAGCTATGGAAAAGCAAAATTCATTCAGAGCATTTAAAATCTCGTTTCGACATCTTGAGTTGTTGAGACATTAGGTTATTTCTAAAGCAGGAGTGATGAAAAATGAGCAACGCCCTCGTCGGAAATCGAACCACGGACGTGTGGAATACGCGCCCAGCGTGCAGACTACTACACTACGAAGGCGGGAGAAATACCTTATATACTCCCCCTTTTAAAGGGCGACTGGGGTTTTAGGGAACCCAGTCGCCAAATCCTGGTGGTAAAGAATCATCATTCACCACCTTTTGTATTTCAGGCGCCACTGCAGAGTTAAGTAGCTGAACTCTATAACTACACTAAGTCGATTAATCCTTTATGTAGTTTGCGTTATTTTAAATGGTATATTTATAAATAATACTTTCAACTATTTCATTGTTTCGCCTTTACTAGCCTCAAAGACGGCCTAATGTTCTAAAGAAAAAATCATAATTCATATCACTGAATTTCGGACTAGCGTGACTTCCAATGAGTACATCCTTCGAAAACATTCAGTTATCACATGGAGTCTAAGAAAAACTTAACTATGCAGAAAATTAAAATCTGTAGGATTTTAATTAAATAACTACATGGTATTGTGTAAATTACATTAATTATTTTCAGTGCTATTATCAATTTTTATCTTCTCTACTTTTTACGGAACGCTGCAAAATAGGACAAGAAACATATAATGAAAAAGTAATAAAATAACTATCATAGAAATAAAGCACAACAAATAAGTCAGTAATTAAATACAGAAAGACATCTCTTGCATTTTTAAGTTTTCTTTACTGCAGGAAATATTCAATCTAATAGAAATTTTTACGACTAAATATTTAAAACTATATTTATGGATATATTCAATAAATCTTTCAAGTCAAGATTTGTTCTCAGTACACCAACTATTATAGAATTCTAGTTAAGATTTTCAGAGCAGCATTTGCTCCATTTATTTCTTTTTTCAAACAATAAAAATTAGCAAAAATAAATATCTCATATAAATGTCGAAGTTCCGGTAGCAGTTATTAATATTCAAGCAACTATACTGCCTTCTTTAGTTCATTTATTATACACGGAATTTCAGCAACTCGGTTACAGACTTTCAGAAGAGGTAGAGTAGACCTCGTACCCGAATGCAGGCCTCACATGTCCGGAAGATGGAAGATCTGATGTTCTGGAAAATATCATGCACGCTGCGGACATCTCCAGCACTTCTAAAGGGGGTTTCGTATACCAGTGTCTTGACGTACCCCCACAGGAAGTAGTCAATACGAGGGAGGTCTAGCGATCTTGCTGGCCAATGCACCGGACCACCCCTGCCGATCCCATGTTGAGGATACGTTTCGAACGTGATTTCGAATACCTTCTTTGATTAATGTGCTAGACATTTGTTTGATATTCCCACGAAAGGACTGGGTAGGACACTCCATCGTGTTTCTTCTGTTGATTCTGTTTATCAAAGGGAAATATTAGAAGAGCAACGCCTGGCAATTGGATGGCATGCATTCTCTGCGAGATTATTTTTGAGACCAAGCCAGTGTACACAATGCATGGCATACGGTCACTCGAAGAGATTTTGTAAAGCTCAAGTCCATTGTGCTGAATGTGCTGGAAATCATCTTGCGACTGTTTGTAAAAATAAAGACAAAGGTAGAAAATGTGTAAACTGCGTGGTTTCTAACCAGAAGTATGGTATAGAGCTGAAACATGATCACAGTGCATTTGATAAGAACTGCCCCTCTTTAAAGAGAGAAATTTAATTTATTAGAGGTCACATGGACTTTAATTTTAAAGAATGATCAGTATGCTTTAATTTTTCTGAATATTAGCTTGGATTTTAGCAGCAGTGTTTCCATTTATGTGTATTTGTTATATTTTCACATGATTTTACTGTATAAATTTATTTATATGATTATTTTAAGTATCAACCTAAACCACTGCGCCTTAACTGCTGCTCAGCTCTCTGTTCTCCAAAATGTTATTGGTGTTAGTCCTGATCTGATCTTACTGCAGGAGCCCTATTGGGCTAATGGAACATTGGCATTTATTGAAAATGGTTGGAGAGTTGCACCTGAAGTTGGAGGGCGAACTGCAATTCTTGTTTTAAAAGAGGAAATTGATTTTATAGTGGATTATGAAATGGATGAAATAACAGCTATTACTGTATTAATGAGAGACCAAAAATTGAGTTTCATATCAGCATACTTTTCTCCTGCAGAAGACATTGCTGTGAATCTTCATAAATTGGAAGAGGTTTCTATCTATATATAAAAGGTTTTAATTATGGGGGATTTTAATTCAAAGCATTTTAGTTGGGGGGGGGCAAATTGATTGATGCAAGAGCAAAGCTGGTGTTTGATTTTATTGTATCTAATAATTTAATTTTTATTAATGACTTTAATTCTATTGCAAACTTTAATTCTCCTATCAGACGAGGTTGGACAGATTTAGCTATAGGATCCAGCAATCTGGATAGTAATAAATGCAAACTTGAAATCAATACTGATGATTCACTGAGCGATCATCGCTATATTGTCTTCGAAATGAAGATTCTTGTCTTCAATATGGAAGAGGGGCCTTGGTATCGAGAAATATTCTAAGAATCAACAGGCTGTATAAGAAATTTAAAGTTGATATGATGAGGCTTGGTGAGAGAATTAGTGTTGTAAATGACAGTGAACAACTGATTGGTATAGTAAACGATTTTGAAACGTTGCTTCAGGCGAGAATAGATTGCGATCTGCTGATACAGAGGAAGACTCGAAATGTAATCTCATGGTGGACGCCCGAATTGGAAAAGTTTAAAAGACGTATCCGTGCATATAGGAAAAGCTCACAGGTGATTGGATTAGATGATAACACTAGAATTTTTCTTAAGATAAAGTACAAAAGAGAATTGGCTATTTATAAACGTTTGATTAGGAAGACCAAGAGAGTATGTAAAGAGAATTATTTTTTAAGAAGCGTTGTTTATTATGACAGTTTTTATAAGACGGCATTTGGAAAGCGAATTTTAAAGCTGAATGTGAAGAGACCTGATGGTATGGGTGATGAGCAAGATATTAATACTGTGTATGTTAAAGAGGTACTTGATTTGAGTGAACCAGAAGATATACATATTTTAGAAGATGATGTTTTGAAATGTAGTGAAAATGACTCACCATTCACATATAATGAAGTTAAGAGTATTATATTGGGCTTGAGGAATATGGCTGCTGCAGGTCTGGATCGCATACATTCTGTTTTGATTAAAAGATTATTCTTCTATTACCCATATTCTTTTGTTGGTCTATATAATGCCTGTCTCAAGCTTACTCTTTTTCCAGATTGTTGATAAATTGGTCGAATTATTTTTATCCCTAAGCCGAATGGAAAGCAAAGACCCATTACACTTTTGAATATTTTGGGTAAGGTGCTAGACAAATTGGTAACTAATAGAATTTTACACTTTATGGTTAATAAATGTCCACTTAACGAGTTTCAATATGGATTTACTTTTGGAAGAGGTATGTAGGATGCACTTTACCGGGTTGTGGGATATGTCAGACGTTTTAGGGGTGAACAACACGTAGCTCTGATTTCTCTAGACATTTCGGCTGCATTTGATTCTGTCGATTGGTCTTCCTTGTCGCATGGTTTAATTGATTTAAAAATAACTAGAAATTTGTTTTATTTATTTAAAAGTTATTTTAGTAATAGGAAAATTGTTTTTAATTGTTTTAAGGATAAGAGTAAAGACTTAGTAATGACTATTTATAAGGGATGCCCTCAGGGCTCCTGCAGTGCTGCCCTGCTCTGGAACTTTATTGTAGATAACTTGCTGAAACTGAAGTTTGCACAAAATGTGGAATTAATTACATATGCTGATGATATTATGATTCTTATGAAACACGATTCTCTTGAAAAAATGGAAAAATTATTTGATGAAACTGCTCTAGTACTAAGTGATTGGCAAAAGAAAGAAAAATTACAATTTAATATTGAAAAAGCATGTGCATTATTTTTTTTCCGGAGGAGGTAAAAAGACTAGACCACCAAATTTGAAATATCAAGGCAAATAAAATTTGTAGATAATATGAAATATCTTGGCGTTATGATTGACAACAAATTAAATTTTATAGAACGTTTTAAGTTGGTACAAAGACGAACTGATCTGCTTTTATTAAATTATAGAAGAACCTTTCCAGCTGAGATTTTAGCCTTGAAATCCTCCATTCTGAAGAAGATTTACTTAAATGTAGTGCTTCCAATCATCATGTATTGAATTGGAGCCTGGGGATCCAGGACAGGGGAACTGGTTAGATTACGGATGAAATTGGACAGTATTCAGAGAGCTTGGGGTTTAGCTTTAACCCGATGTTTTAGAAAGGTGCCTACCGAGGCCGTCTTTGTGTTGGTTGGGCTGCCTCTTCTCTCAATTTTATGCGAATTTTATTATGAGAAATTTTTATTTAGGACTGGACGAATGGAATTGGAAATGTATGAAGATGATTTAATAACAAAGAATGTTTTTGAAAAATTTAATATTCATTTAATACATCCTTCCAATAGATTTGGTTTTGTTTTTGATAAAAAGTAATCCAACTGTTGATGTGTTTGATATTTATACAGATGGTTCTGGGATCGGAGGGAGCGTAGGAGCTGCCTCTGTTGTTTTTTACTATGGAACTGAGGTGGATTATAGAATGTTTAAGTCGAACATATATAATTCAGTTTTCCAGGCAGAAAGTGAAGCGTTCAAACAAGCCTTATTATGGATTAAAAATACCTTGTTTATACCCACGTCTGTAAATATTTACACTGACTGCCTCTCACTTCTCCATGCGCTCTCCCTCCCAGACAATTTCAATTCATTAATTGTCGAAATTAAGAGTCATTTAGAAACTTTGAGTTCATATTTAAATATTAAGCTACATTGGGTTAAAGTCCATATAGGCTTTATTGGTAATGAGAAGGCCGACAGCCTGGCCAAGCAGGCGGTCTCAAATTTCAGTGCAATGGATATTGAAGTAACAGGTTCGAAGAGAATTTGCTGTTCGAAGAATGAAAAAATTTACGTTAACAAATGGAAAATACAGCAGTTCTCTTCACCTAAAAACAAAGGATTTATATTAAATCACAAATAAAATAAAATGTATGAACAATATTGATGTTAATCAGGTTTTAATTGGACATGGTAGGTTTCCGTTCTATTTCAACCAATTTAATCTGCAGGAAAATAAATTATGTATTAGTTGTCAGGTTGATGGTGATGCTAGGCATTTCGTGGTAGATTGTAGTTTAACAGCCCCTATTAGACAGATTTTTAACATTACTGATTTTAATGTAAGTGTTATTAATTTTAAAGTTTTTAAATCATATTCTATTGCTCTAATGAAGTTTATCAATGAAAATAGGGCGCTGGTAGGAATCTTCTGTTAAAAATTGAATTTTGTATTTATGTGGATTTTAGATATCTGTGGTGTTCTGTTGTGAATTTGTGTTTATGTTTTTTTTTTGTTTGTTTGTTTGTTGGTCTGTAATTTTGTGTTAGATGTGCTTACTTATTTTTGTTTGTTGTTTTGGGGGTGGCTGGGTTACTGGCTGCCCTCGTTTATGGAGATACGGTCCCCCTTCTTTTGAGCTATGGGGACACTCGTGTCCAGGTGGGCTGAAGGGAGCTTCCATTTCTTACCTTCTTTGAAGAGCGTCTGTTTTTGTTCTTATTTCTTGGTTTCCGCTGGCACTAAGCATATATTTTCACCTTGTTCGTGTCCTTCCTTTCTTGTATTTTATGTCGTTACTACCACGCCAGGAAACTGTTCCCGACCATGCATTGCTATGTGTTTTTCCATCGTCTAGGTGTAATCTATCTCTTCTGAAAGTTTGTAACCGATTTGCTGAAACGTCTTGTATATTCTGAAAACGGAATTTGTATGGTGTTCTAAAATATAGAATTAGCAATACATTTAAATTTCCTATTGATTCGCTGTATCGTTTTAAATTTAATATTTTCTTAACTAAATTATAAGCTTCTCAACGCATGTCAAAGAATATAATTGAACGTACTTTTTCTTTTATTCAAATTTCTAAATTCACTTGCTAAGATCTAAAACGTTGCACTAAAACTTCTGTCAATTGTCACATGTAAGAACTTACATTAAATTTTCTTTCATTTGCTAAGATCTAAGAACTTATTTTAAAATTGCTTGCAGTTGCTCATATCTGCAAATGCAAAGGTTGCCTATAACTGTCTACTCTGCCGTAAAAGTAAAACCTGCTGTGGAATCGCGAATATTTAAAGTTCTCAAATAAATGCCCGAAATTTAAATGAAGGCAACAATCTTGTCACTTTGACAAAATGCGCGACCAAACATCTTTTATATCATGTGATCAAATAAGGTGATGAACTGGTAACCTTAATATTAGTTCATTATTACATTTTTCTAAACAGTTTACAAGCTTTCAAAAAGTACAGGTGGTATCTGAAATGCTTCAACAAACTTAGAAGGATGATAGTACTCATCAAGATCAACAAAAAATGCAATGGAACATGGGGTCGCAAATAACGTTTAAAGGGTGAAAATCGCAAAAAGAATAAAAACATCGAAATCTCGCATGTTGCTTTTCTGCAGAACTGGTGCAAAGCTGGTTTTCTTCTCACTTTGTGCATATCCGATGAAAAGAAATAACAAAAACTGGTAGAAAGCCAAACCAATCTGTGAACAGGAATTTACGCATGCAAATTTTCATATTCTTAGAAACAAACCAATAAACGCAACTTTGTAGCAAGCATGCGTTGTAAGTACATGAACCGCCAACGATGTGTAACCACCTTGATGGAGTTTATTCGGCAAGATGGATTGGACGTAGTTGCTTGGCCTTGCTCGCCGGACCTGAACCCTATTGCTTGGCCTTGCTCGCCCGACCTGAACCCTTTGAATTGCTTGTTCCGGGGACGAATGAAATCCTTCATTTATGAGACGCCAGTAGAAACGCCAGAAGTAGTAGTAAGGCGTATTGTGACCGCTGCAGCAGAAATCCAGGAAACTCCCACAATCTTCGAGCGTGGCCCCAGTCGTTCCTCCGTCGATGTACTACTCTGTGTGATAATGTCCGTGGTCGACACTTTGAACAATTGTTGTAAAATTTTTGTTTTCTCTGATCATCACGAGCTGTGTTGTAATCTATTCTGTGCAATAAATAATTTTCTGGAGTGTTTCTTTCTCGTATCAGTTTGTCCATCTCCAGACCATTTTTCTCGAATTTCACCCTTTAAACGTCATTTGCGACCCTATGTTCCGTCGCACTTTTTGTTCGTCTTGATGAGTACTATCATTCCCTCTAAGTTTGTTGAAGAATTTCAGATACACTCTGTATATTCCTATTCCAGCTACACTGAAAATTGAGAAGTAAGTGTTCGCTGTATGTTACGACATTCTTGTCTTCGGAGCGGTAAACAATTGCGCAAGCTCTCAGTGTCCCTAAGAATTGTTTTTATTTTTCCTTCCTTATGTCGAATATACAGTATTTCTTTAAAAAAAGAATAAGAAATGAAAATCATTTTAACTCTACAAAACTCAAAAATTGATTTATAATAGAATATATTAGAATTTATACGTATATATAATATTATATACGTATCTTCTTATAGACACAGGAGGCTAATGTTGTGTACTCCTGTCTGTTTTTATACGAGGGTTCAAGTCAAAGAGTCTTTGCTAACTCATCGTCCAAACAAAAACTTAGATTGCTTTCAACTGTGACATTGATTCAATCTGACCACAAAGCTTGTGACAATTCAACGAACCAAATTTTTAGTCAAATAATGCAACTTTTTTCAAGTCATCACTAACAGATTACGTGAAGTAAAATAATATTATATCTTTGAATAATTTAGAGTATTTGCAACACAGTTACAATAATGAAAACTCAAAATGAAAACCCATCCTACCATTGATATATATTTCTGGCAAACAACATTTTTATATGTCTTTATACTTTTGTCGAGACCTTTTATCAAATAAATTCCACATCCTTGACAGTTTTTGACTGGCTTAATTATGAAAAAATCAGGTTTTCTTCTGCCCCGGCAGTAGTCATAAAGTATACGAAGTCTGAAAGAAAGTAAATAATATATACATATTTTTTAACAGTCATTAAACTTTTCTACTTTTTTAGAATATTTGTTCTGCACTGACACTAAAATCTACAGCAATTCATTGAGTAAAGTTTGTTAATAATTCAGGCTAAATTATAGAAATTTCTCAGATGAACAAAACACTTTTATTAAATTCACATTTTTCTCTTTATTTTGCGTTTGAATTTACGAGAGCTTTGAAACCTAAGCCAGTAGTATCAGCCTTTTACTGCATTTAAACCACCATATAACAAGCGTTGTTTCAGAATCTTTTCCATACATTAGTATATACATTCCATACATTAACTAACTTGTAGGGTTTATATTTATTTTAACTAACATTTATTTTAAGTTTAAACTATCTTTCCTGTCAAGCCTTACTTTCCCCTGGAACTGCCAATGCCAGAATATGTAAATTTTAGTAGAACGCGCAAGGATTCAAATTATCTGTGGAAGTATTATGATTTAAATAGAAGGAAACGAGTTCGGTGTGATATTCTTCTTACTTCACGAGCGCGGAGGTAGTTAGTGAGAATTTGAAGGACCCCGCGTTTCGGCCTATGTGCTTGGCGGGAAGTAGTGGTAATCGTTCCAGTGAGCTTCAAGTCTGCTGAATTAGCAGCGGTATTGTAAAACGCGGTGAGTTAGTTATTTTAGAGAGCCTCGTAGTTAGAATCTTGTCTTTAGTTTCTTTTCAGGTTATTATTTTTATTTGACCGCCAAGTAGGGCGCAGTCTGTGAGCGTCAAGAGCACGCAATTGTAATTTATTACGTTGAATAAAAAGGGACTTAAACCCTTTACAAGACTCTGTGTTTTATACAGCTTTCACACAGTCACCTCTTGGTTGCGTGCAAGTTGGAGGAGCGCAACGTTATAAACGTTTTTGTGATATATTTAATAAATGTCTTATAATCGGTAATATTCTGAATTTTATTTTTTAATTATCTACCAAAAGACCTACTTTTATGCGGCTTACACTGCTACTTAGTATTTAATAAACATTTCGTGAAATTAAGTACATCTTCATAAAGTAGGAGGAAAACTATGAAAGATTTAGTAGAATGAAAATGAAATAATTAAAAAGTTTAGAATGCTCCGAAAACAATGCACTAAAGAATATCGTTCAGCAAAAAAAGTCAGAATATAATATTCTCTACGGAAAGATTTGTATATCTCTTAATTATATGTCATAACCTCTCAGTTTGTAATCAAGATTTTAATTATTAATGTATGGATTTCTAAGTTTTTCATCATCGAGATCAAAAAGGTTTAAGCAAGGAGACATGCTACATACAATGAATGCAAGAATATTTACAATATTTCATCTTACCTTGCAATATCTATTTGGATTCAAATGAAGAATAATATATCAACACTTTGAAATGAAATCTGATACCGTTTGTAAGGTTTACTTTATTTTTCTAAGTTATTTTTGTTTTAGAACAAGCCTCTCCTTTACCTAATCATTCCCCACCTACGTTTCCTTGTCAGAAGGAGTTTCCGGGATTTCGATTTATGTAAATGATGTAGAAACGAGTATTTAAGTCTGGGCCATTTAGAAGAGCGTTAAACAGCATTTTCTGCCTTTCTACCACGTTGTTGCTGCTGGTATAAGCTTACTGTTTTACGACTATATTGTTACGTGCCTGCTAGTATGCGCCGATGAACTTAAATAAAGGCTAATTCTGTTAGTTAATTTTGCGCAGCTGCGGCTGGTTTATTTTAGTTATTATTAGATTAGTGTTATATTTTCTGTCTTGAGTTAAAAACTTAGGTTACTGTAAGCCCGTCTGGTCATTTGTCAATTTATTTTGAGTTGGAATAAAGGGAAAATTTAATTCTTCTTTGGATTTGTTACTTACAAGTGCTCAGCGAATAGTCTGTACACAGCTCTTCAATACGCAAGAAAAATCTAGTTTAACCAGGATAATAAATGGGCTCCTGAATAATCACGAAACTATGTCTCTGGAGTCTGGAATGTTTACCTTAGCCGCTCCCAAACTGCAAATTCCACCGGCACCATACAACCCAATGGAAGGGTTTGGATTCGAAATTGAGATCATGCGGCTGCGATGAAATTGGCTGCTACCTTCAACAGAAAATGTTCGGTGATATCCTTCTTGGAGCAGCTGGAACTCGAGTTCACGTTGCATCCTGTTCTGGAACTGCAGAAATTCACCATCGCCATTGCAAATCTAACAAACCAAGCACTTAGCTGGTATAGGGAAAATGGAAAGTTCCCACTGGGGGAAGCTAGGTTCTGAAACATAAAACAAGAAAACGTTTAAACTGGTCCTGCCAAAGATCCTCCAGCCAGTATTCAGAAATTATGTAAATTTAGTATGTTTCCAGTAGTTAAAGACCGCGCCAAGCTCGAAGCGAAACAGCTCAGTAAATACCAAACAAAGGTGGAAGAATTCAAGGACTTTATTCTATGAAAAATCGAGATATTTAACTTATTGTACAGAAAGAAGCCAGATATCGAAATTATATAAGTAATCTTTTCGCGTCTTCTTTCAACGATACAGGACTTTATGGAAGTTGGAAACCCAAATACGTCCGAAAGCTTATTTCAGATCGCTGTGAAATTCGAAAGCCGGCGAGCTTCGGAGAAAATGTGTAAGGCAAGCTTGGCCAAAGATCCTCCAGCCAGTATTCAGAAATTACGCCTCAGCCAAGACCATAGAAAAAGCAGTATCCCTATAGACAGTCAGATGCGACCGCAAAAATCGGTAGCAAAAATGTGGGACAGAAGAGAAAATCATTTGGCAGTCGCCAGAATAAGCAACAGGAAAGCAAGAGGCAGAAAAACAAAGCAATTTAAACTAATTATGGTGCCCGAGAAGAGGGTCAGGTCAACCTCATTGAAGCAAAATCCCTCTGTACTTAAACTAATTACCGTGGTCGCGCAAAATTTGGTATTGCTTGAAATTCAAATTTTGATAAATAACATATCAACATCGGCTTTATTGGACACTGGGGCGCAGTGCAGTTTCTTGCTGCAAGATTTTTTTCAGGAAGCATTTTAGAAGGCATAGTATTTTTAAAGTTACGGGACAGAAAGTAGTCGCTGCCCAAGGTAAGAAGTGCGTATGGTCTCGGGAAAGTGGATCTGCACGTTCAAATTAGAACGAACAACAACGCGTTACCTTTCTTATGACCAAAGATTATTAGCAGCAGTAATAAATACTGGTGTTAGTAAATCTGGGGATCGACATTTTTTGCGCGGAGAGGGCAAATTTAAGTTTTAAAAATTCTACTTTCCAGGTGCAGATGGAAACCATAGAAGAAGAATCGAGTACAGCACCTGAAGTCGAGCTGAACCACCTGCCAGAACAAGCGAAGAGAAAGTTACAAGCGCTGGTAAGAAAATTTATAAGGTATTTCTCCCGCCTTCCTAGCGTGCCTTCGTAGTGTAGTGGTTATATATGTTTAGCCGGTATTCCAGAGGTCCATGGTTCGATTCCCGGAGAAGACGATTGCTAATTTTTCATCTTGCCAGCTTCAAAAAAGTACAAGTTCAATCAATTATTTGATTCTAAGACGGGGGTTCAGCCAGGTGGTTAATCATTAAAGTCGACAATGGCGATGCCGCTCCTGTAAAAACGAAGCCTCACCGCTATGATAGAGTTAAAAAACAAATCATAGAGTAACAAATTGAAGAGATATTAAAAAATAAAATTATAATTCCTACGGTTATCCTCTACCCGAGTTCGGTAGCCTTATGCCCGAAAGGAGAAAAAATAAATAAATAAAAAATCTGAAAGGTTTGGTTTAAAATTTTAAATTATGCCCAAACGGGCGTATTTTTTTTTTTTTTTCATTTTGTGTGTTACCTTTATTTATTAAATATCATTTTCTTCGCACTTAAACCATAATATTCAATTCAAGAGCAATATCTCAAAATAATTTTAAATTGAGCATATCTTTAGAAATTCCGATACACAGTCTCATGCGCTAAAGATAAAAACGTTTTTTTCTGTACAACGTTGTTGTTGGTCGCTTTGAAATCCTTGAGTTTGTTAATCAAAAATTCGTTTACAAACTATGAAATCGATAATAAAACAAATTCCAAATTTAAAGTATGAGTTTCCAGATGCCCATATTCGCAGTAGGATTACGTCATTCAAAACAGGATGCCTCTGGGTGGCGATAATATTTGGTTGCAACAGTTTGAAAAGTGAACGGACAAGTTTGAAAAGTGAACGGACATTCAGAGTGATTTGACTCAAAATGGCAAAACGAAACAATAGTCCCGAGGCTCATAAGATGGACTCTTAAATTACAAGTATATAATTTCATTATTAAACATGCGTTATAAAAAGAGTATGTTGCTGCTGATGCACTATCCAGAATTAAACTATATGACGAGAGGAACAAGCTTAAATGTACTATGTTAACCTTGAAAATAATTGATACCCGAGATACAGATTTTTCGAAACTGAAAGCAGACCCCGAGTTCAAAAATATCTGGGCGTATCTCAAAAACCTAGGAAATTTTGAAATGCGGACATTAGTTCAATTAGAAACAGAGCAGCGCATATAATGTAGTTATCGATAAATTGTTATTCTACCCAAAAGTAACTAATCAGAATCACGAATTCAAACCGGTTATCCCAGCTAGCTTACGTTTAAATATTCTACATGAGTTACAGGATTCGCCTGTTTCAAGCCACCTTAGAATCAGAAAAACGGTTCAGAGTCCTCGAAGCGGTTTATTTTCCGCACTTACAGAAGGTTGTAAGGGCGTATATCAGGTTATGCCATGCGTGTCAATAGATTAGCGATATTCATTATAGTTTGGCCGGGTACTTAAACTAGCTTTCTTAATGAATTTGTAAGTATCTGCTTGTTGGGTTCTCATCCCTGAACTCAACTAAATAAATATAGATATGTTAGCGTGGACCATTTTACTAAAGGGGTAGAAATAGTTTTCCTCAAAACAGCCTTCGCAAAAATCGGGTCTGACTCATTTT